GTTCCATGCCAGTCAAGGCTGCATAGTGAGATTCTGTCTCAGAATAAAAGGAATTGACATGAAAGGACTGTCATCTAGGGACAGACGGGGGCTTGGAGAATGACCGTGGAGGAAGGGGATGAAGTGAGCGAGCTATATATGTCTGAAAATGCCACACTGGAGCTTCTCTTTCCATGGCACACCAACTTTAAATATTAAAATAAGTCAGGGCATTTTATTTATTTGCACATCTTCTTACTCACTGGGCTTGTTCTCCAAATGTTTCCTGCTGAAATAATGTGACTACTACATTATTTAAAATGTTATTTCTTCTATTAGTATTTCAAAGGTCAAGACAGTGAACTGTGAGCCTCTCGACTATACAATTTTACAGTCTTAGCATATGCTCCCCATATCCACCCTTTGTTGACAAACAAGTTTCTGTGACCCCGGAAGTTCCCTTGAGTCCCTTCCCTTCCCAGCAAACCTCCACAACTTGACCGGTATTGTTGTGAATCTAGCTGAGTCAGGTCACTCAGTCATGTTGAATGGGTTTCTAGATTCATCTCCGTTGTTTGCTGATCTGCTCCCCGTTGCTGAGTCACCTTCCATTTTAGGACCAGACTCCAGTTGTGCCTCCGTGACCTGTTAATGGCTGTTTGGACTGTCTCCAGCTTGGAGCTATTATGAACTAGGCTGCTATTAATACTAATTTTGAGTATTTCTGTAGAAATGTTCACTTCTCTTGGGTATCTGAAAGTAGACTTTCTTAGCCACAAGGAAGGTGCGTATTGATCTTTTCTGAGAAACCGCTAGGTCTTTTTTGTCTGTCCCTTAAGTGGTTATACCAATTTACACCCCCACTAGCAATATAGAAGTTTGGGTAGCTCAGCATCCTCCACAGTATTTGGAATTAGTTTTTGATTTGGACATGCTGACCATGGCAAAATAGATTACTATTTTAATTTCCACATTCCCGGTGACTACTGACAACTGTCACCTTTCAGGTGACTATGTGCATTTTGCTTATCTTCTTTGATAAGTGCCTGTTTAGGTATTTTGACCAGTTTTGAAAAACTTGATTTGTGGGAATGATTTACACATAGAAAGTCCTTTGATTTAAGTGTTGTGGAGAAGTCTCTTCCCAGTTCATGGCCTGCCTCTTCTCCATCTTTTGCTGAGTAGAAGCTTGTTTCTAATGCTAATGATAACGTTTACTTTTATGGCTAGCACTTTTCATGTCCTTGCATGACATCTTTCCCCCATTTTTTCTTGAAGATTGAAATACTTTTTTTTTTAGTATTTATGATTCATTTTAAGTGTTGTGCATGAATAAAAGGCTACACCTCCCCTCCCCATTCTGGGCACTAAGCTGCCACAAGATTGTCTATTGAGAAGATTGTCTCCACTCTACTGAGTTGCTTTTTAGTGTCTTTACCAAAATTCCTTTACCATATGGCTCTGGATCTATTTCTAGACTCTCTGTTCTGTTTCAACGAGCTAGTTCTCTATCTATTGCTGACACTCTAAGGTCTCCTTGCTTTTACCATGTTCTCTGGGAGTCTGCATGCCATGTAGTCAGCATATTAAGTGTGGGGAACTCACACATCTTTTATTAAGTTTTCTGTACACCTGACAGTGTGCTTTCCAGTAATATTTTATTAAAATTAAATGAGCTCGTTTCTAGTTCTGCTAGATTGTATTTCCCCAAATGGCTGCAGCGATGTTTCCACCTCCCATGCACTTCCAGAATCTTGTCGCTCTGTTTCTTGCCTGCTTGTGCCGACTGGGCCTTTGTGACTGTCTGGACAACCAGGACGGGGCAGAAGTGGCGCACCCTGCGTTCCCAGGCCAGGTTAGGACAGGTGGCCCTGTGTCTTGAACTATCTACTCTTGGAATCCGATCACCTGGTTTCAACAAGCCCAGGAGCAGAGGTCCCAGCAGCAGGCCAGTAGCAGATGCCAGACATGAACGTGAATGGATGAATAGAATAATTGGTGGGAGGAGCTCCCTTGATGACTGTCCTGTTTTCACTGGGAAGACAGGGAGCCGCAGCCTACTATGTCTTTATTCTGTGCACAGTTTTGGGGTGCAGCTATCTTTCAGAAAGGAAAGGAACTCTTTAAAAATGAGAATTCAGATAGAATTTAGGCCATCATAATGTAGCCATGGAATCTTTAGTAAGAATCTGTCGAAAAATGAGATTTACCTGACGTGATCTCCCTTCAAAGACCGTTTACCCAATACTGGCAGAGCTGAGTGTTAGCTTGTTGGTCTGTAAATAACAAGCAAGAAGAGAAAGTATACAAGGAAGGAAGGAGTTAGTCTGTGGGATATTCTGATTGACATTTTCTTTCAATGTGTTGTATGCATGCCCCTTTCTTTTTTATATATTGCTTATGTATAATAGTCACACGCACTTGAAAAGAAACTGTTCTAGGGCTGGTAGCTTAGTCAATTTCAGTGATGCTGGCTCTCCCCAGGCATCATTCCTCCCCTGACAGGCTGCTCTGTTCTTGACTTGGGAAAACCTGCAGCCATGGCCAATGAATTGAAGCAATGACCTTGAAGGTAATGTCATACTGCTTCCAAAAAGTGGATGAAACACACCTCCAGGACTGTCCTATTGCTCTGGATTTTGTGCCTGCTTTTCTTTCCCCTTGCTGTTGGGTCTTCTATACGTCTAGCCCAGACTGGGCCAGGACAAAAAGGTTTCTGTTCAAAGCCAGCACTGGTTGTGTGCGATTCATATAACCATAGGATTCTATGCTTAGGAAATGATGGAATACCGCTCGTTGCTTTGTTTTCTCCTGAGTGCCTATGATTCCTTTTAGTACCTGGATGATGGGACTGAGGTCTGGATGCTGGGGCTGGGGCCAGTCTAATCTTTTCAGCTTTGTAAAAGGCAGTGAGGCGAATTTACCGTGGAGATAAGTGCAACTCCCCTCTATGGCTCTTGGTGTGTGGCAAATGAGCTAGCTGCCTTAATGCTCCTTCTACATGCATGAGGGCTCACACCTGTAACCTCCACACTTGGGAGGCTGGGGCAGGAGGATTAGCACCAGTTCCAATCATCCTGGGCTACACAGCCAGCCAGGGCTCCAGCACGGTAAGACTCTTATTCTTCTATATCACCGCCCATCACACTTCTCCAGAGCATTTGGCCAGTTTGGTTACTGGAAGATACCTAAGGAGGCAGGAGCAATAAACTCGTTTTATGCTCTGATTCTGTGAAATCAAAGGACAATCAAAAATAACCATTGCCTATTTTGTTATTGCTCTCATCTAGTTCTCCTCAATTTTTTTTCCTTGTTTGGGGCATGATAATAACAAATAAGTTTTCCTTCAAGCCCCTTTCAATATTTTGCTTATTCCTCAGGGCATTATCACAGAAAGTGTATGGAGTGGTCCATTTTTATATCTGCAGTGCCATGGTCAACCTAAGCTATGAAAGTACCCTTCCTTGGTCTGGGAGATTCACTGAGAAGTTCTGCTACCCCGACCCTCAGCTCAGCACTTGAGACATTTCCCTCTTGCGACCTTCCTGCTAAAGATTCCTTTCTTCTCAGAACCGTGTTTCCTCTGAGGACCAGAGCTGAGCTTTTTTTGTAGGAGGCACGGGGGTCTCCGTGTTCACAGATAAGCCCTTGGGGAACCTGGAATGTTAAGCACACAGGGCTGTGTCTTCAAGGGATGGAAAGTAAGGCCTTTCCTTGCCCAGAAGGCTGAACGGCTTCTCCAGCCTGGTGATCTTTTGCCCCATCTCTGTGGCAAGGAGCTCCTCCAGGACCAGACCCTGACCACAGACTTGTTTTTCTCAGTGGATCTATAGAACCCATCTGTATGGACTTTACAGAAAATTTTGATGTATTTTGAAAATTTTGATCTGTATTTAGCTGCCTTTGTTTCTTAAGGAGATTTGTGTGTGTTTTGCTGTGCACGTGGGACTGAGTTAACACCAGAATAGTTTTCACCAAATTGTGCTGCGCTAAATATGCCTAAAATAAACCCCTCGCCCGCCGTCAGACTCGGGAAGTTTGAACCCACACGGGCTACAGAGTCGTGTTGAGCCAACTGCCTTCCTACCTCCTAAGGCTCATCTCTCTGCAGCCCCCTAAGGTCTCAGAGACTCCCCTATTTTTATGCAAAAGGAAAGGCAAAGGTCACTTCTGCAAGCGCAGGAGCACAATCAGGTTGGCTGGCTTGTTTTTTGCTTTTTTAGTCTAAGGTCAGGATTTCATCAGACACAGTAAAGATTTAGTTGGTTTCTTCCTCACTACCCCCATGGAACTGCGCTCAGAGGGATTCAGCTTAAACATTAAGAGAAGGGAGAAATCAAACAAAAGCAGGTCGAATGACCTTGGGCCAGTCACCCCTTACCTCTCAATGGATTTGTTTGCAAGTAGAAGGTGCAGTGCGTGTATCGTGGGCGTGGATGTGAGTGGTGGGTGCCCCTTATAGCGTTCTGAAGGACTGACGATTGTGACAAGCCGTGGAGGTCAGGGGCTGCAGACCCAGCACTTCTTTGAGTTTCAGGTCCCAGCTTGGATCTTCCTGTTCTGCGCAAAGGACCCAGGAGGACCCCATCGGACTGGATGCAAAAGAAAAGAAGCTGCTAACGAAAAAGGGAAGAGAGTAGGAGGACCCACGGCTGCACGGCACAAGTGACAGGCAGGGGAGATAAGGTAGCCGACTTCCTGAGGCCCAGAGCCGCCCAGGTGCGCCCATCCCCTCCCGGAGCCCGCACCCAGCCCCAGCCCCGTAACCCTGCCCGCTCCTCCCGCGCCACCTGCCAGGACTCCGACTGGCGGCGCAGCCTCCTGCGGGCCCCCGCCCCCGCGTTGCCGGGCCAGCGAGGCCGCCGCGGCGTTCGGGGCGCCGCCGCATTGGCCGCTGCGGTGCGGGAGGCGCGGTCGGCGCAGCCTCGGGGCTGCGGGCACAGACTGGAGCGTCCCGCGGCGCTCGCTCTGCCCTAGGTCGGCTCGCCCATGGCCCTGGCTCTGTGGCCCTGGCGCCCAGCCCCGCACGCAGTCTCCATCGCCCGCCTCTGGTTGTCCAGTCCGCCAGCCGCGCGCGATGCTGAACGGTACGGGCCTGGACCAGGCGTTTAAGATGTCGTTGCCGCGGAGGGCAAGGATCGGCGCGTCCGTGGGTGAGCGGGGAGGGTGGGCCACTGGGGCGGGGGTGGCGCACGCGGCTGGGAGACTCTGCTCCGCCCTTCGTCCTGTCCCCTCCCCTGGGCGCCTGGGGCTGCGGGACTCCGGACGCCACGCCCTACTGCCCCCTGGCTGGACGTCCTTGCACCCACCTGGCACTAAGCCTCCTACGGGGGCGAGGGAGCGGCAAGTGTGAGAAGTCTCAGGCTCCTGACGTCGTTGTGTATGCATGTGTGCGTGTGCATGTGTCCGTGTGTGTGTGTGTGTGTGTGTGTCCGTGTGTGTCCGTGTGTGTGTGTGTGTGTGTGTGTGTACAGGCTAGCGCGCGCGTCAGGTCCGTGCGCACTTACGCGGTGATGCGGATGCCGGAAAAGACCAAAGCAGCAGTTTTCTGCCCTGTACCCAGTCCTGGTGGGCACAGTTTGGTCACTGGGAGGACTTGTTGCCTCCCAGGCTGTCTGCTACAGAGACTTAAGGGAAGGAGAAGGTCACTGAGAGTGTTTTCACCACCTGGGGCCCAAGTGTTCAGGCTTACACTAAGGACCGAGAGGCTTAGGCTTACATTACACGGGAAAGCTGCAGGAAGCTGCGGAGACTTGATGCACTCATAAACACCCGCTGGCAGTGGCCTGGGTGCGATTGGAAATACAGCTTCTCCAACTAGTCACTTTAGATGTTTTTGTTGTATAATACTCTTAGACCAGGCACATCCAACGCTCTGTGGCTATAGCACTTGATAGGTGACCTAGATGCTTATGTGTTGCAGAACTGAAGGGGGAACCTCCAAAATAATGCCCTGTCTTGCATTTCAGGCCTCCTTGAAAGGAGTCTGGGTAGATCTCTGATGCAGAGGGTTCAAGGTTTAGGTTTGGAGTTGAGGCTTGTGTGTTTTGAGATAACAGGCATATAAAAATAAATGACCTTTCCATTTCCACTGTTGAGCAATGTGAGGGAGAAGAAACTCATTTTAGCTAGTGTTTGCTCAAGTTGGGCAGTATCAGGACACCGGCACATTCCTTTCCTGAAAAGGTCACTAGGCAACACACCGAGACTACGGAGGTAGGGAGTCCCAGAGGCATCAGGGAGTAGTGTCAGAGGGACAGCCTAGGTGCCAGCAGAGGGAAGGAAGTGTGTGCTTTTCAAAGCAGTGCCACGGATGCAAGGCTTTGTGTGCAGAAAGAAGCATCCCTGGATGGGAAGGGTACAGAACTTCTTCTTTGGGGAAAAAGGGAGAATGTAAGATTTAGTTTTGATCATGTCCCGTCAGAGATAAGATGCCCACTGGTGAACAGAGTGGGGATGGATTGGCTTATGAGCCTGCGTTCACAGTCAGAGATCTAAGTTTCAGAGTGCTCCCCAGGATGCCTCAGTGGGTACCTCCCTGCAGGTATGCGGGGCCTCCTCCCAGAAGAGCCCCTCTTTAATATTCTGCATCTTTTTAAGCTTAGGGTCTTGATTTCTGCACAGGGGCACACCATCTCATTGTTCACTGGGTCCCCCCCCAAATTATGTAACTAATACCAGAGGATTCTGAAGGTGTCCTAAGCATTCCAGTATTTTCAAATTTGGAGGGTCTTAGGGGCAACAGAAAGGGACTGGAATAGGATGTACCGGATCCCAGCAAGTCGGGAAAGCCGCCAAGAACTCCAGAAAGAATCTGGGCATTGATGCTTGGCTTCATCTGTGGAGGTCACTGATGCCCTTGGAAGAGCTGCTATTGTATAACTGTGGGGCAAAATAGCTATTAGAGGGGGTGCAAGAGAGGAAGACAGGACTTGAAAACAGACTGTCTATGACACTCTTTAGGGAAAATTTTGCAGAAAACGGAGGGAAAAGCAAACGGAGTGAGCTGTAGAAAGTAAATTCCGGGGAGGACGCTTTGCAGACTGACTGCCTGGTCCAGCTGTGCAATAGTATGAACCCTCAGTCAAGAGCTTCTCAGTGGTCTGCGGTGTGAGCAACAGTAAGGAGCAGGGTTCAGAACTCAGCAGTTTTAGAGAGAAAGGGCTAGGAGTTTCTGAAGGTGGAGGGCTTTGGGACCTTGTTGATGACAGGTGTGGGATGCAGAAGAGAAAATGTGTGGCTTTACAAGACGGGTCTATGTAGAGCACATATATCATGGATGGGCAAGAGGGAGGCTGGGGTGGAAACCAGGGCAAAGGCCCTGACAATTGCCTACTCCCGTAAAGTAGAAGGGACATGTGACTTTCGAAGAAGCCTGCTGCTTCTCATTTAGTGCAAACTAGCAAAGGCGCTCTGAGGTTCATAGCTCCTTCAAGATCAGGGGCCACCCAGTCGACTGTTTACTAAAGCACTTCCGGAATCATTACTTCTGGTGACTGTACCTTGGACTCCCATCTTACTCTGGGTGCTCTGGCATACCTTTGTCTGCTCCTTTCTGCAGCCATCTGTCATTCACCAAATGATGGGGATCCAAAGACCAGCTGACTTTGGTTGGCTGTAACAAGAGTTCCTGGATATGTATTGACCACCTTCCATGTGCCAGACACTTCCAGGCTCCGGTGATGGATCCCTGGACAGGATAGGTGCTCTCTGGACGGAGCCCAAGGTCTAGGGAAGAGTCCAAAGCATACTGTCAGAGCTCTCAATTGTACCCAGCCTTGAGTCCACGTGCACAGGCAATGCACACAGTTGAACAGGGAAGTGAAGCACACATGTGCGTATAGGTGTGTGGGCAGTGACATGGGGGAGGAGGACAGAAGGGAAGGGAGAGCTGTGTTCTGGGGACGACAGCATTCGTGTTCTCCAGGGTAGAAGCTTCTTTCCTCTTGCTGAGTTTCTGAATTCGGCTTCATGAAAGATTGGCAATAAAGAGCAGGCAGACAGCAAGCCCAGGGCCTGTGCCTTTAATTAGATTAAATACAGGACCTGGATGGCTTCAAGTCCTACTGAGGATGCCCTTGGAGGTCTGTTCCAACTTCTTTACCCAAATCCTTTCATCTCCCCTGGCCTCTTCGGGTCAGTAAAGTATTTTGTTTGTTTGTTTGAGTGGACTCCTGTGTGGGCCTAGTTTTCTTGCATCTCCTGTAAGTGCCTGCGCCAAGTTTTAAAGGAAGGGGGTGGGGACAACAGAAGATGCCAGAAGCTGTGGTATAGAATCTAAGAGCTGGTAGATGGCACAGAAGTGCTTTAATCCCTTCCACTTTACAGCAAACTATTTCAGAGCAGCTGGTTCATTTCTAGCAGAACCAACTAATTTCCAAGGCCCATTGGTGCGGTTCAGGATCAGTTCCAGTCTAAACAGGGCATGCTCATTCTTCACAGTTTCCTCTGCTCTGGTAGGAAATAAGGCAGACACGGGTCTCATATCCCTCGCTTCTGTGGTCTGCACTACCCAGTGGGCACTCTACACACAGATTTAAACCATCTCTGTCCTAGATACTTTTGTACTTGACCTGAGGGTCTAGATTATATTTGGAAGTTCTTGGAGACAGTGTCTGTTGGGCGTAGATACCAGACTAGGTTTAGAGAGAAATAGGTTCAAACTTTGAAATTGTCTTCTGCTTCCTATGGGCCATTTCTTTACTTACATTATAGAATGAGGATGTGAAGAAAGAGTCCCCCCCCCAGAGCTCGTGTGTATGTGTGTGTGTGTGTGACTTGCATAGCTCAGCAGTGCACATATTAATTACTGGATGCACGATCAAGTAAGACAGTCGCTAGTTCTTAGGTTGCCCATCACAACCTGACATGGTCTTCTCTACCTAGACCCCTATTTCAAGTGATACAGAAGCAGGGACATCTTTAGCTATAAGATTTCCCCCTCTAAATCTAATGATGGCTTACCCAGGATGTGGCTGCATAGAGGTATTTCTAGGTTTGCATGACGCAGAAATCCATACTCACCAACTACCCAGATCCTACCCTGTCCGTTCTCTAGTGTCTGACAGTTGTCACCTTCCCTACACTGTCCTGTCTTATGCCTGCAGGTGCCCACTATGCCCTTAATTTGATGACTTTAGTTGTTTAATAATTAATTCACCTTTACAATGGCTGCTTTATCTTAAATCCTCATCTGATGGAGGTGCCAGCTAGACAGATGGATTACATTAAAGTTACTCTCTTAGAACCTTTGGATGGTTTATGAGAGGATGTTCAGACAGTGCCTCTGAAGCCCCTTATCCCTGGGGCTTTTCACATTTGCTAAATATAACCCCCGGTCAATCGCACACCGAGACAAGATGTTATTTACATCCTATTAGGCCAGTGAAAGTGCCCAGGGCAAATGTTAACAACCACTAAGAAAGGCTAAAAATAAAAGTGAGCTCACACTCACGCCCTGGCAGCTTCTCCATATCATTGTCAAGGGCAGACACAATGCCTAACCTGCCGTGTGGCGCTGAACACCACGGAGATGGGGACAGTTATGTCCGTGTGTCTCCCAGGCTGTGCCCTTAGGGGTGTCTGTGAGAGTACAGCCAGGTCTGGCACGTCCCCTTGTTCCAGGGGCTTTGAAAGGGTGAGGCATGTAGATTGCCTGAGCCCAGTTTGGGACAATGTGGGCAATTCACTGAGAACTTGTTTCAACAACAAAAATATAATAAAAGAAATATACACATAGGGTATTGTCCATTCACAGCAGTCGGTGGAGGGCTCAGTATGCCGGCCTGCTTCCTTACTCCTGTGTGTGCCCTGTGTCTGTGCTCCTTGCACTGAAGGAGTATCTCTCACCTGCTAGTGAAAGAAAAATGGGTATGTCGTAGCGTCTCCTAAAACTGTGGCCTCATCTTCGCTCCTTTTGATTCAAAGATTTCCGCGTTGAGAACGTAGTTCCCTGCATTTGAGTTATTGTGTTGGGCAATGAGCACGCGTTCATTTCGGACATTCTCCAGGAGCATCTGAGCACAGCTTCATCGTCAGAGACACCACGTCAGCCAGAGGCAGAGGGTTCCCAGGATTGCTGTAGATGTTTCAAGCACATCACTGAGACTGGTTGTGCAGAAAACTGGGGCAGCAAAGGATTCCTCGGCGTGAG